GACCTGCAGGGGCCAGGGCCACCCCTTTCCCCCGGGCCCGACCGCGCACGCCCCCGTCGTGAGCGCGCCAGCCCCAGCCTCCAGCTGGGAGGGATGAAGTCCTGCAAGGGCTTTTCTTGATCAAGGGCTAGAGGTCCACGAATTAAAAACAAGAAGACGAAAAGCACCGCCTAGGGAACGCTCTGGTGGTGGCGGAGACGTTGTGTCTATTCCCTTCGAGCCCCACAGCCCTGACTCTTCGGTGCCGACTTCCTTCCCCACTGCACTTCCCCGTTCTGCCCCTGCCCGACCGCTCGCCAGAGTGGCGAAGCAGCGTCCTGGACCTCCGGGAAGCCGGTCAGCCCTGGGTGAATGCGGGCGGCGCCGGGATTCGCCTCGCTGGACATTGACAGTGTCTGTCCCCTTCTCGGACCCCTCCTCAACCACCAGTCAGCTGCCCTGGGACGCGCCTGCCGCCAGGGGTGTAGACGGAGTGTGAAAGGGCAGGGCGCAGTGAGCGTGGGAAGAGGCCTGGGGGCCCAGCAGGAACTTGAGGGGCTCCGACCCTCACCCTAAGGCAGCCCAGAAGAGCCCGGGCTTCTCTTTGAGCAACCACAGAGACCACCACAGGTGGTTACCCGCCGGTACTGGCAAGAGGGGCGGGTCCCTTCATTCATTATTGTACATGAAAAACCAAATGAAGGAAGACAAGAGCCATGCAGTAGAGCTCCTAGTAAGTCCTAGCGCGGACACACGTGAGAGCCCCTGCTCTCCGATACTTGCGATACTTGCTCTTGCTGACAGCAACTTCGGGTACCAGGACCGAGGAGGTAGGAGTGCCACATGCCTTCGGGAAGATTTCAGTCACAAGGTAGCTAGGGAAAGCTCCGGTGCGTTCCGGACACTTACAGAAAGATTTGAAGGACAAGTGAGTTGGGTCAGGGGAAGCATTTTGAGGGGAGAGCGGTGGGCGGGCTCTGGAAGGGCAGGGAGAGGTTGCCAGGCTGGGCAGTTGGCGCAGCACACAGGCGGCTGTGGTGTGGGCCTGGCCAGGGAAGTGCGGACCCATCCTGGCTTTTTGAGGGCAAAGGAGAGGCTTTACACTTTAGTTCCCTCTCATAGGAAGCAGTCCCGAGGTTTGTCTCGGTCTGCTACAGGTTTCCGGAGTGTGAATTCCGACCTGAGTGTGGAAAACCTTATTGTGGAGGTTTCTTCAGTAAAGGGCAGAGAGCAAGGTGATGACGTAAGCGGCAGTGGCAGAAGGACAGAGGGGACATAGGCTGCAGAGCTGAGAGACCGCTCAGACATGAATGGGAGCCAAAGTCAGGGTGATGTTGGTGTTTGGGGCATGGCAATGGGGTGTGTGGTGGTCCTAATGAAGAGCAACCCGCCCCCCTGGAAGAATGGGAGAGTGTGTGTGTGTGTGTGTGTGTGTGTGTGTGTGTGTGTGATTTCCTTAATAGATCTACAGTCACCGGGTCCAGGCACTGGTAAAGCTAGGTACTGATCTGAACCCTTGCCTCATTCTCTCTGTCCTTTCACCAAATCTTAGTCACTCAACACAGTTCTTTCCATAGCACAGAAAGTTAAGCTAGGTACTGATCTGAACCCTTGCCTCATTCTCTCTGTCCTTTCACCAAATCTTAGTCACTCAACACAGTTCTTTCCATAGCACAGTCAAAGTGAGCAGCAGTCAGGCTAAGCAGTTCAAGAAGGATCTGAGAGAGCACTAATAGGGCCATGGAGAGGAACCCAGAGAGGTTGCCTAGCAAAATCATTTAGCCACAGAGTGGTTGCTAGAAAGGCTATGGTTTCTATGGCTATGGTTATGGTTGTGGTCACTACCTTTACAGAAATAGCCACTTAGTATTTCTTCACATGCTATGTTAGCTCCAAGTTTCCATCACTCAGGGCTTAGAAATCAGCCCCCTTTTCCTCACCAATAAAAGATATTTGATACTTCTTTGGCAAAACCTGAAAATATTGATCTCTCTCTGATCGAGCTTTTGTTGGCAAGTATGAAAATCAGGTGGAGAAGAGGGGATGAAATGCCTTATGACAATCATCACTCTCAATTGGGCTTAATTCTTGAGCCATTCGATCATTAATATGTGTTAATGCCCGCTCAGGGCCAGGACCTGCACTGACTCAAGAGCAGTAGACAAAATGCAAGGGGTCCTCGCAAGACGTCTTCCTCTGTAGAGAGGATACTAATGAACTCACACACTTGTCAGTTGTTATGAAGAGGAAGCCTTTCTTCTTCTTAAAGACTTTCTTGAAATGATGCCACTACCCTATTTGAAGCCCCCCCACACACCTCCTTCTTGTTTGGCATTCTAAATCTCCTTTTCCTCTGTGGTCAATGCTGGAAAGCCCCTGCATTGTATTCCAGACCCTCCATCCTCCATTCAGCCTCTTTCTTTAGATCTTTTTCCCATGTTTTTAAATGTCATCTAAATATCCTGAGTCCCTATTCCTTGTCTCCAGCCTGAACCTTTCCAAGTCTAAAGATTCTGCTGCCTGCTGGGCATCCCTGCTTGGCTCTCTGGTGGTCACTGTGTCACGGGCCTGGAACTGATTTCTCCTTCAGACAGACCAGTGCTCCATCTGCCCAGTTTTTTAGGATGGAAAATTGGAAAGTAATCCTTGATTCCTCTTATCTGAACCCATAACCACTAAGTCCTAGCAATTTCACCAATAAAATATATCTCAAACCCATCTATTTTTTTTTCCTCCAAGAACTCTGACTCCTGGAGTGCTATCTGCAGACTCAGTTGCTACACTTCAAAAGCACCCATCTTCCTTTTATCTGCTTCTACGTGGCTATGACCCCTTCTCAGGATGCCATAAACTCACCAGGACAATTTAATAATCTGCTGCCTGGTCTCCATGCACCTCCACCTCAGCAAATTTCTACACAGAAGCTAAAGTGAATGTTTAAAATTCTAAGACAACCCTACATCCACTTCCTTGCTCAAATTCTTCAAATGATTTCCCATTATTCTTTTAGTATGGATCACATTTAACATGGTCCAAAATAGCCTTCTGACCCGGCCTCCTACACTCCTGGCTTCCTCTCCCTGGGCCACACCTGCCTTCATCCCCTTAGAAGTGCATCCAACCCTTTTCATCCTCAAGATTTGCAGTGGTCTCCCTGCTTGGACACAGCCTCTTTCCCTGCTTTCCATTTCAGTTTAATGATCCCACTTCCAGATGATTTTCTGTCCATCTAGTTTTAAATATGTTCACCATATTATTCTCTCAGTGACACTCCTGGTTATTTCCTTCAGAAATCTCACAATTTTCATCAGACACTTTAAAAAAATTTTAAAGTATGTTTTCCTCCCTAGAATGTGAAAGCAGAAAATGTTTTGTGTGAATGTTGTTTACCAACTAGTCTCTAGCACCTCATATGCTGAGAGGTAAGTGGTTGGTGCTCACTTAGGTGTTTTGGGGAATATCCCTTCCATAATTCATGCTTTTTACATCATTAATATCACAAATTGAGGTAAATCTTGATGTTTATATTCATTCACTGATCTGATAAACAATATGCTGAGTCCTTTGGGAGATGCAAGGACGTACAAAGAGTGGCCCCTAATCTTAAGCAGTTTATAACTGAAAAAGAAAATATACATTTTGGAGAACAATATAATATGATCAAATGTGTTTGGCATGTAAAATGAGCAGAGAAGTGGCAGCTGATGGCTAACAGATTGGTATAGGCATAAAGGAAAGTTCTTGGATGTAAACTTAGGTAGAAGGTAGAGCAAGGAAGTGAAAAAACTCAAAGCACACATCATGGGAAGCCAGCATAATGGCAAGTGCAAGTAATGGGGAGAAGAGGGACATGACCGGCACATCCCACTGATGCCATGAAAATCGGGCAAAGCAAAAGCACAAGGAAGGGTCAGACCAAGGTACAGGGCCAGAGCATCTTTTTGGAGCATGCTTAATGTTAGCTGAGTCCTACAGAGAAGTCTGAGATATTGGGAAAATTCCTGTAGCTGTGTCTAGCATGTAGCGCTCTATTTTTTAAAAACCTTTTCTTTATTAGATGTTTTTAAATTACTGTGTAAAATAATTAGGAATACACAAAGAAAAAATTCTATAATCTCTCTGCCTTTCTTTAGCCTTCTTCAAAAATACCCCTCCCCACAAGTTACTGCCTACATCAAAGTCTCCATTTCTAAGGGGATCCAGACTAAAACAATAGATGATCCCCCCAATAATGATGTTCCCAAAAAAGAAGCAAAAAATTACTTATCCTGACAATACCATTAGGCACTGTTCCTGTCTCTACTTGCTTGCATTTATTCATTTGCTCTTTCAGCAAGTTTACTGAACATGTATTGTGTGTCGCTGATAGATGAGAACATGGTGGAAAGAGTTGGAATCTTCCTGTGCTTTAGATGTATATTCTAATAGGGCAAAATCCAACCATAAATAATAACTAAATATTTCCTCTTTTTAATTCTTGTCACTTTTCAGTACCTTAGCATATACAAGCAGATGATTTTTCCTATACACACTATCCCTACATTGTTTTCCTTCTGAGACTCTTAGTAGAGCGGCTCCTCCCCTGACTCATTCAACCTTGTTTAACTAAATTTCTTATTTAGGGCTTAACAATCAAGCTTGGGCTTGGCCTCAAGCTCACTTTTTTTCCCACTAAGTTTATTGGTACTTTTTAGGTATACAGTACAGTTACACTCATTACTGGGATCTTGTACCTTACATGACAGATCTTGGTTCTTATTTTTCCCCCATACTCCCGCCCTCCCTTCAGCCCCTCCATCCCTCTCTATTTACAAAGACTTTGTTTCCATTTTTTCCTTTTCTCATACTTTTTCTTTTCCCTTCTTTTCTTTCCCCTACCCTTCCCACTTCCCCTACACCTTTAGCCCTTTTCTTCCTATTTCACATTACCACTTATACAATTTGAACTTTATTCACACTTTGAAAAACTGAAAAGCTCACTTTCTATTACCTCTACACAGTCTGTTTCCCCTCCCCTCTTCCTTAATTTGGTAACTGACCTGCCATTCAGTCTAACTAAACCAGTTAGGTGTCAGTGTTATGCAGGATGGGACTTAACAGAACTTCAACAGATGGAGAGGTTCTTTCCCACTGGGATGGTCAAGGCAACTTTTCTGTAGTACAAAGGTAATTTTGATAGATTTCCCTTTTTACCATCTTCCCAAAACTCCAAAAACTACTGATACTTTATAACTTCTTAAACCAAGTCAATATCATACTTCAGTTAAGAAGCAGAAACAATTGCTCCTCTTGTTACAATGTATAAAAGACCTCTTCTCTGGCATCCCACTCTCCAGAGCACATAGCTACTATGTGACAACATTTTATCTCATAAGTAATCTGAGCCTGAAGATTGAATTTATGCACT